TTCCCTTAGAAATTATTTCTGAGAAACTTCAGCGATACAAGTCCTTTCTTAATTAAAAACTAGTTTATTCTTTCTTGATTCAACTTTTTTAGTACACATAATTTCCACAGTAACTTTAAACTTAACAACTTTTATAACACACGCTATAAATCACAGTGATTCACACACAGTGACTCAATTATCTATCTCTTCGATCTAACTGCATATCTATATGTCGCTGGCTTTATTTGCTGGGCTTATATACTAAAAAAGAGGGCATCTGACAAACACTCGGACATTCGCGGGGTTCCCCGATAATTCTAGAAACTCCAGCGATCATGCTCCCAGCGTCACGTGACTTCCGCTATCGTAAAAGTATATTACCGGGTCGAGAAAGATACTGAAGTCCTTACATTCTAAACTTTGAATAAGATTCGATATCTTGGTGGATGCTGGATGCACTAATGGTCATGATGATACTATTCAGCCAAAATAAGCTGACTTTATATTGAATTGAGTGTTCCTTATCCACTTATTGATTGGCAAACTGGTAGAATGCCAGAGAACCAAAAAATAATATATTACTTTGTAGTTTTAGTGGAAAATATGCTCTTTCTTGTGTTAAAGATTGGAAGAAATATATTAAATGTACTGAGGGTATTTTTAACATTAGAAACACTTTTATCACAGACTTCTTTGGAGAGTTTTTGATTTCTTATACATGGGATACTATTACACCAGTGACTATGACAATATATTTACTGTGCGTCTTGTATTTAAAAGTTTATATAAATTGTATCCATAATTACCTAATCTATATCAGATCTTATAAAGGACACTAAAGATATAAAAAAGAAATTTTCTAGTGGTTTTTTTATTTAATTTTTTTATATAACCAATAAAAGTAGTGTTTGGGAAAGTAAAGTTCATTATCTTCAAGTAATATATTTTTAATGTTAACAATTGCTGGATGAGGAAAATATGCATGGTATTGTAACATGTTTCTGAGAGAGAGTATATATAGAGAATTAGTTTAGAGGGTTGTCACTAATCAACAAATTTTGGAAAAAGAAAAACTTTTAATGGGTTTAGATAAGCCTCGTGGTTTTCCATTGCAACTGCTGAGCCATTAAATTCTGTAGTAGCACGAGACAGCTAATGCAAAGATTAAACACAAATGTTATTAAGTATAACACCATACATAAATATTAATTTTAAAAGTAGAAAATTCAAGCCATAATTTGATACTTAGTTTGTCTTAGAAGCTCTGTATTGTTACGACAGCGGAAGTCGCGTGACGCTGGAAGCATGCATGCTGGAGTTTCTCGAGTTATCGAGGAACCCCGTGAATGTCTAAGTGTTTGCTAGACGCCTTCTTATTTTAGTATATAAGCCTGGCGAGAAAAACTGGCGGGAATAAAGAGAAAGATAAGTGAGGCAAGAGAACAGTAGGCACCGTAAGTAAAGTGTGTGAATCACTTTTATTTATAATGTGTGTTATAAAGGTTGTTAAGTTCAATGTGACTATAGAGCACAATTTGAGCTACTGGCAGAAATGAATGGATGGACAGAGTAGCAGAAAGCAGTGTACCTGGCAATGAGTCTGAAGGGCAACCACTGGTAATACTTGGACAGTTGTCAACAGACGACAGGCACAACAATAGAGCACTGGTAGCTGCTCTAGAACTCAGGTATGAAACTCAAAATCAATCTGAAGTCCACAGGGCTAGGTTTAGAACGAGAGTCCGTGCTTAAGGGGAAAGCTGGCACAGGATTTGGAAAGTATGGCACACAAGGCCTATCCAACTGCACCACCCAATGTCCTCAAACTGTTACTGAAGGATAAGTTTGTAGATGCCTTGGACAGTTCACAACTGAAGTTGCAAGTAAAGCAAGCATGCCCCTCTACTATGCAGGATGTAATGGCCAGAGAATCCTATGTTAAGTCCAGCGCAGAAGTACCGAGGTTGATACAGTCATCATGATTAAAGGCCAGAAAAGGGCAGCTCTCAGAGAAGTTTGAGGGACCTTGCTAGTACTGTAACAAACCTAGGCCAAAGAGAGCTCAATGCCTGCAATTTCAACACAGGGAAGATGCCACGGCAGGAAACGCTGCTATCCAGAAAGATTGTTGGAACTATGGAGAGCA